TGATCGTTTTAGTGCAAGAGAGTTCAAGATTATCAGCATTTATAAAAGTTCATGTTTGGTAAAAGAAATATCGAAATTAATTTATATCTTCTAAATTGGAATTATTTTCACTAACAATTTGTTTTTAATTTGCAGTAACAAACAACTGGACGATGTTGTCAAGAAGTCGAAGAAAGAAATTCAGTGCGAATTCTGCGAATATAAGAGTAGTAATAAGCATCATGTTATAATACACCGTTTGGCAAAACACGAGCCAGATAATGCGACGTGGCATCGTTGCAGCATCTGTGACTACAAGACAATCCGGAAAAGTTATCTTCGAACCCATTCAACAATTCACGGAGAGATTAAACAACTCAAATGCACAGAATGTCAGAAAGGTTTCAATAATAAACGTGACTTGGATAATCATATTTTGAAACATCATTCTGAGAGTAGTTTGAAAGTAACTANTTGGAAGATTCTCTAATCCTTTTTTTGTATCAAGATGGAGTAGTAGAAAGCCAAAAACTTTCATTCCCAAAAATAATATACAATAAAATAAAACTTATACAGTAACGTTAGTTACAAATAAAAGTGGTAAAAAACATAGAAATTTTCATTTCTCTTTTCATTATGATTTCCTACCACGTAGTAACGGCTGCATCCATCAATTTATCATTATTAGAGTGTTATTATTATGATTTGACAATAACTGACTAGAATGTACACACTCTTAGTACGGTTTATTAGAGAATTCAAGAATTGTTTTAATATTTTCATATTAGTTTTGAGTTTGGCAAATGAATAAATATTTTATTATTGTATGTCTAAGATAAAAATACAAAGTACATATTTGTTTTCGTTTGGAACAAAAAACTTGTTTCGAAACTGTTTTGTTCTCCTGGAATCAGACTTTAAATAAATCTACCTTATAACCGTTGTTCACCGAGGTCGGGTTAGATTAGGTTAGGTAAGGTCGAGTTAGGTTAGGTTGAGTTACGTTAGGTCGGGTTAGGTTAGGTTAGGTTATCTATGGTCGGATTAGATTAGGTTATGTGAGGTCAAGTTAGGTTAGATTGGGTTAGGTTAGGTGAGGTCGAGTTAGGTTAGGTTGAGTTAGGTTAGGTCGGGTTAGGTTAGGTTAGGTTATGTATGGTCGGGTTAGATTAGGTTAGGTGAGGTCGGATTAGATTAGGTTATGTGAGGTCAAGTTAGGTTAGATTGGGTTAGGTTAGGTGAGGTCGAGTTAGGTTAGGTTGAGTTAGGTTAGGTCGGGTTAGGTTAGGTTAGGTTATGTATGGTCGGGTTAGATTAGGTTAGGTGACGTCAAGTTAGGTTAGGTTGGGTTAGGTTAGGTTAGGCGAGGTCAAGTTAGGTTAAGTTGGATTAGGTCAGGTCGAGTTAGGTTAGGTTGAGTCAGGTTAGGTCGGATTAGGTTAGGTTAGGTCGGGCTGGTTTCCGTAAGGCCGGGTTGAGTTAGATTAGGCCAAGTTAAGTTAGGTCAGGTTAGGTTATGTTTCAAACATCCAACCTGACCTACTAAATTGAAAACCTCATGTATTGAAAAAGTATGACATTATACGAACTTTGACAGACTATATCTGGAAAACTAATTGAATCCGACTCAAAATAAAAAGTATCCAGAATTCCTACCATTATGTAGTATCATCACAGAAAAAATTGCGAAAATCCGTGAGTATCCCATAAAGTACAATTTTTCCTTAAAGTTCACTAAACTGAACATTTCCACGTCTCTCGCATCTTTGACAAAAATATATTCGTGTACTTACGTCAAGTAAATTTTCACTTCAACAAAACATCTCACTCGAATCCATCATTTCCACGGCTAACCACGATCGACGTTCCACTGAAAACAATTGAAATCAAACTAGCGCTCATTTTCAAACGTAATTCGATGTGTTGCATGCTCCGACGCACATCGATACTTTGTACACCATCCAATGCGCGTTCGACGTAATTTGTTCATTTGGAACACGAGTCCACGGTCACAAGAAGTCATTTTGATTTAATTTTCAACCACAAAAAGTCATTTTAAGGACCGTGAAATGTAGATGAAAAAGTTGTATCGATTAACAAATTCGTTGGACTACAAAAAACGTTAATTCAAGGAAATTGTTGTTCTATTAGTTCAAATAATGTTAAATGTGTCTCNAATTGAGGAATGAATATTTGTGACAATAAAAAGTAAAACGGCGTTCCATACTGATGGTCGGCGAATTTCCACTTTGCTACTATGAATTGAAAATAATGTTTATTTTATTTCAAAATTCGAGTACCAGCACTCTGCAAACTGATATTATCAATTCTTTCATTTCATCATGACATTGTCTGATTAAAAAAGAAGAAATCTACTTCAACGAAGATCGAGGCAAGAGCTATAGATGAAGAAATATGTTTTTCCGTTAATCAGCTGTAGCTTTTATATGAACGACAACTCTCAGAAGTTGAGAAACTTGTGCGAGCTAAGGAATAACGAGGTCTTACCTTTTAACGTGTGATTCCTAACACGAAGAAGAAGAAGATTTCAAAAGAAGAAATCTACGCCAACGAAGATTGAGGCAAGAACTCTAGATAAAGAAATAAGAACATGAAAATAAAGAGAGAAAACATAGATGAAGAAATAAAAACACATAAACGAATATTATTATTTATAACATAGTATCTGAATACAGGAACTAAATCACCTTCAGAAAGGATGTTAGTCGAATTGTTTATTTCCAGCAAGCTCCTACGTGAGAGATTTAGTATCATTTTGAATGAAACTGTATATATGTTGAATCGAAATGGTTATTTCCTAGAATGACTTCTCTCATGAACTGTCAAATTACTCCTATGAATGAAGTATTTTGAACAGATTTTACACTGGAAAGATTTTTCCCCAGTATGACTTCTTTCATGAGCTTTCAAAGAAGCACATTGTGTGAAAGATTTTGGGCAGATTGTACATTGAAACGGTTTTTCTCCGGTATGAATCCTTTCATGAACTTTCAAATCACCGCTGTGAGTGAAAGATTTTGAACAGCTCCTACACTTGAATGGTCTGTCTCCAGTATGTCTTCTTTCGTGAATTTTCAAGGAATAACCTTGAGTGAAAGACTTTGGACAAAAGTTACACTGAAACGGTTTTTCACCGGTATGAGTTCTTTCATGAACTCTCAAAGCCAAATTTTGAATGAATGACTTTGGACATAGTTTGCACTGAAAAGGTTTGTCCCCAGTATGCCTTCTTTCGTGAATTTTCAGATCACCACTTCGTGTAAAAGATTGCGAACAGATTTTACACTGAAATGGTCTGGCTCCTGTATGAATTCTTTCGTGGTTCTTCAAACTAGTACTATGAGCAAATGACTTTGAACAGAAATTACAATGGAATGGTTTCTCTCCAGTATGAACTCGTAAGTGAACTTTCAGTACATTAGACTTAGCGAAATACTTCAAACAAATATCACACCTAAATGATCCCCCACCAGGAAGATTCTTTAGGTTCGATTGTGTGGTAGGATCCAAAAGAAGTGGGTCCACATCCTGGGTTGAGCCCAGAGCTGGAATATTGTAAGAGGAGTATTCTTCATTCTTAACCCCATATTTGAGATCTTCGTAAACAATGTCGATTTTATCTTCCATCTTCATTTGTCCGTGATCACCATTCAATTTGTTGTGATTCATTGAGTTTGGGTCGGTAGAGGAGTCAGTACCAATCAATTTTGTTCCTTGTCTAGCAGGTTCCGAAAAAAATGGCTTCACATCATGGTTCAAGTCTTCACCACGCATATAGTTTGATAGGTTTTCTTCAGTATCAACCTCACATTTGAGATCTTCGTAAAAAATATCGATATCATCTTCCATCTTCTTTCGCCTATGATCACCAATGATTTTGTTATAATCGTCGCCATCCGTTGAGGTCAAGTTATTAATCAAGTCAGTTGGAAACATTCCAGCATCTTGTGGTTCAGTTTTCACTAATTCACTATTAAACGTTGTAGATTCACCAAATATTTTATCTTCTTGTGGTTCTGCCTTCACAAAATTTGAGTCGAGAGATATTTTCGTAATAGTCTCGATGGATTTTTCCATTGTTCTTCCATATGCACCACTAGCCATTGTAACATTCAGTGGAAATTTTCCAAAACACTCAATCACCTATAAAAACCTAATTTGAAAAGATGTATACAGATTTATACAGATGCATACAGAATTAAGTTGATAATGGTACTACATTCAGTACGATTAATTGGAACTGTCTTTCTCTCTAACCTGATCCCCTATATATATATTGAAATGAATCGAATCTGAATTGTCATTAACCAATCAGAAATGAGCTCATTTACAGGTAGAATAAATGATTTCTGAGAAGTACCAATATTTACTTCAATTATGGTGGTTCCATAACATTTTACCTAATTCTCTTTGAAACAGGTAGTAAATAATTTTCACTACATTTGTTATAAGAGAATTGTCTGAATAAATATCGCGGGGTTGATCTTTGCACAATAACAAATTAAAATTGAATGTAAAAGAAATTGTAGTAGATATTGAACTCGAAAAAATTTCCAAATCACACAACTATCTACAGAAACCTAATTTTGTACAATAGTAAATCAAAATTTAATGTAAAAGAACTTGTAGTAGATATTGAACTCGAAAAAATTTCCAAATCACCCAACTATCTACAGAAACCTAATTTTGTACAATAATAAATTAAAATTGAATGTAAAAGAACTTGTAGTAGATATTGAACTCGAAAAAATTTCCAAATCACACAACTATCTACAGAAACCTAATTTTGTACAATAGTAAATCAAAATTTAATGTAAAAGAACTTGTAGTACATGTTGAACTCGAAAAAATTTCCAAATCACACAACTATATACAGAAACCTAATTTTGTACAATAATAAATTAAAATTGAATGTAAAAGAACTTGTAGCAGATATTGAACTCGAAAAAATTTCCAAATCACACAACTATCTACAGAAACCTAATTTTGTACAAAAGTAAAGTAAATTAAAAAGAACTTGTAGATATTGAACTCGAAAAATTTTTAGTCAATGTAAGTGTAGGTCTGTTCAAAAATGTCAATGAAAAAACTCATAATTATTCAAAATCGTGAGTTTATTGGTTTTTATAAAACAAACGAGTTGTAGTGTCTGAACTTAACTTAAGAGCACTTTTTTTAGTTCTTCTTTCATTAGTTCCTTCAGGGATTTCAAATCAGTTTATATAGTATCAGACAATGGAAGTCGGAACTAATGAAATTCATTATAAAACATTGTCAGTCATCTTCAAACAAAAGATCAATCTGCTTCCATGAACCAGCTGTTGCCCCTCTCGAACGACAATTCTGGAAAGCAGGAACTTGAGAAATCTGAAGATCAACGAGGGCTTGCGTTTCAACGTGCGAACCACCGTTCTACCTAACGGTAAACCTTCGTAAAACTATCAATATTCAAGTAATCAAGACAGATTCCTTCTGATAATTTTGATTTGATGAAGTGGTGTTGGTTTTTTTTTTATCATAATCGTTTATTTATTTTTCATATATGCGGTAATTGAAGTCGTATTCTCATTTCATGTAGATTTTAGTGATTTTTGTAAAAAAAGCCGACCGAGTTAGGTTCTAGATGCCCAATTAAATGAAAATATTTTATTTCAATAAGAATACCTTCCTCCAGAATATTCAGTTGGAAAAACAATGATTGGAATCATAAATCTTGGATGTACTTATTTTTCATATCCGGCCATTCAAATATTGTTATTTCTGGACTCCATAATTCAATAAATTGTATATTGAAAAAACAATAGAAATCAGGTGTTTGAAATGGCGAGGTCAGAATGAATTTTATGTTTGTACTTAGAAATATTGCAACAATCATTATTTCACTGCCTAGATGGTGCTACTAACGTCAAACAACCACTATCCTCTAAAACTCTGTTATATATGGACACTATCTATGTTTTAGTTGTCCATTAGTGATTGGACCTTATGATTGTAAGGCTGAGTACTTTATGTTATAGAGGATCTGACCTGTCAGTTTGAATCAAATTCTCGTTACCTGTGGGATGCATGAAAAAAGTTTCTCCAGCCCTAGATGGTGTGGTGAATCTCGTCAAAATAAAAAAACAAATCATTCGTTTTGGAGATACAATTAACTAAAGTTGCAAAAAACTTATTACAAAAACCAACCATGTTGTGAAAATTTTCAACAATTAACCGAGTTTATTCTTCCTCTTGAAGATGATCACTTGGTGATCGAAACACGTGTCGAGGTGTTGAAGTAACGGTTTGGTGTTGGGAGAAAACTCCAATAGAAATAGAATATCCAATTTATTTTGGAATTGCAAGAGATCTCTAGGTATTGCATTCAGCGTCGGCGAGATATTTTCATTGAACTTTCAAATCCTCTTAATAATTCAAAATGAATACCAAATGATTTTACACCCTCAATTTGTTATCATTTCTGGTCTGATAGTGTTTTGTCTATGCATCTCTGTTAGTAGTAGCGTGAAGTTGAGCAAATGGATAGTGATGGCCAGCAGATTTCCACTTTGGTACTTTGAATTAAAAATAATGTTTATTTTACTTCAAAATTTGAGTAGCTGTACTCTGCAAACCGATAATATCATTTCCTTTATTTCATCATGATATTGTCTGATTTAAAAAGAAGAAATCTACGCCAACGAAGATCGAGGCAAGAACTCTAGATAAAAAGATAAGAACATGAAGATAAAGATAGAAAATATAGATAAAGAAATAAAAACACATAAACAAATATAATTGAACAGTATTATTATTTATAACGTAGCTTCTAAACACAGGAACTGAATCATCTTCAGAAAGCATGTTATTCGAAATGTTTATTTCAAGCATATCTCCTAGACAAGAGATTTCGTACAATTTTGAATGAAAAGACATACATGATGAATTAATATGGTTATTTCCTAGAATGACTTCTCTCATGAACTTTCAAACTACTCCCGTGAATGAAATATTTTGAACAGACTCCACACTGGAAAGATTTTTCTCCAGTATGACTTCTTTCATGAGCTTTTAAAGAAGCAAAATGTCTGAAAGATTTCGGGCAGACTGTACATTGAAACGGTTTTTCTCCGGTATGAATCCTTTCATGAACTTTCAAATCACCACTGTGGCTGAAAGATTTTGAACAGCTCCTACACTTGAATGGTTTATCTCCAGTATGCCTTCTTTCGTGAATTTTCAAGGAATAACCTTGAGTGAAAGATTTTGGACAAAACTTACACCGAAACGGCTTTTCACCGGTATGAGTTCTTTCATGAACTTTCAAAGCAAAAATTTGAATGAAAGATTTTGGACACAGTTTGCATTGAAAAGGTTTTTCCCCAGTATGAGTTCTTGTATGAACTTTCAGATCACCACTTTGAGTGAAAAATCTTGGACACATCGTACACCGAAACGGTTTTTCACCAGTATGCTTTCTTTCATGAACTTTTAAATCACCACTTCGAATAAAAGATTGCGAACAGATAGTACATTGGAATGGTTTTTCTCCAGTATGCTTTCTTTCGTGGACTTTCAGATCACCACTTCGTGTAAAAGATTGCGAACAGATTTTACACTGGAATGGTCTGTCTCCTGTATGAATTCTTTCGTGGTTCTTCAAAGTAGTACTATGAGCAAATGACTTTGAACAGAAATTACAATGGAATGGTTTCTCTCCAGTATGAATTCGTAAGTGAACTTTCAGTCTATGAGACTTGGCGAAATACTTCAAACAAATATCACACCTGAATGATCCCCCACCAGGACGACTCTTTAGGTTCGATTGTGTAGCAGGATCCAAAAGAAGTGGGTCCTGGGTTGAGTTCTGAGCTGGAATATTGTAAGAGGTTTTTTCATTCTCAACCCCAAACTTGAGATCTTCGTAAACAATGTCGATTTCATCTTTTCTCTTCATTTGTACGTGATCACCATGGAATTTGTTGTCATTCATTGAGTTTGGGTCGGTAGAGGAGTCGGTACCAAACATTTCTGCCCCTTGTCTAGCAGGCTCCGAAAAAAGTGGCTTCACATCTTGGTTCAAGTCTTTACCACGTATATAGTTTGACAGGTTTTCTTCATTCTCAACCTCACACTTGATATCTTCATAAAAAATATCGATATCATCTTCCATCTTCATTCGCCTATGATCACCAATGATTTTGTTATAACCATCGCCATCCGTTGAGGTCAAGTTATTAATGAAGTCAGTTGTAAACATTCCAGCATCCCGTGGTTCAGTTTTCACTAAGTCACTATTAAACGTCGTAGATTCACCAAAGATTTCATCTTCTTGTGGTTCTGCCTTCACAAAATTGGATTCGAGAGACATTTTCGTAATAGTTTCGATGGATTTTTCAATTGTTCTTCCATACGCACCACTAGCCATTGTAAGATTCAGTGGAAATTTTCCAAAACACTCAATCACCTACAAAAACCTAATTTGACAAGATATACACATACACAACGAGTAATCGGAATTGACTTTCTCTCTAAATTGGTCCCCTATACCTATATATATATTGAAATGAATCGAATCTGAATTGTCATTACCACCAATCAGAATGAGCTCATTTACAGGTAGAATAAATGATTTCTGAGAAGTACCAACATTCGCTTCAATTATCACAAAAAATGCCACTGATACGAATGTCACATTGTAACAACTATGAAAAAGACATGTAGTAGGGTGCTGATGTTTCTGTATTTTTCCTTTCTTGCTTCTTTCATAATAACTCAATGATGGATATTACAGAGAAATGCTCCTCATGTTGACATCCCTTTCTATGAAATATATTTTTCTCTTTATAATTATGGATATTATAACAATCGATATTACAGTTTCATATAGTACATTCATTATAATTGTTATGTAGAAAAAAGGGATCGTCTAAGCATCCTGATTGTCAATCACTTTTCATTGAGTGAATGGTGAATTCAACATTGGCCAACACACCTACTTCTTTTTCTTCACTGACAATGAAGTAATTGGCATTTTCTTCTGGTTCATTTCACATTTTTCTTTCCAGTTTTGGAAAATAATGCTGAGTGGAATGGCGACGAATAAGGAACCTCTGAGCATAAATTCGAGCTGCAATAGTTGCATTCTTTTTTGTTCTTCCTTAAATTAGCAACATGTCAGTTTTCCCCTTTCTAGTGTAATTTGCCATATCTAATTATAAACTATACAACAAATAAATTAACGACTCTTTAGGTTCGATTGTGTAGCAGGATCCAAAAGAAGTGGGTCCTGGGTTGAGTTCTGAGCTGGAATATTGTAAGAGGTTTTTTCATTCTTAACTCCATACTTGAGATCTTCGTAAACAATGTCGATTTCATCTTCCCTCTTCATTTGTCCGTGATCACCATGGAATTTGTTGTCATTCATTGAGTTTTGGTAGGTAGGGGAATTAGTACCAAACATTTTTGCTCCTTGTCTAGCAGGTTCCGAAAAAAATGGCTTCACATCTTGGTTCAAGTCTTCACCACGCATATAGTTTGACAGGTTTTCTTCATTCGCCACCTCACACTTGAGATCTTCATAAAAAATATCGATATCATCTTCCACCTTCACTCGCCTATGATCACCAATGCTTTTGTTATAACCGTCGCCATCCATTGAGGTCAAGTTATTAATGAAGTCAGTTGGAAACATTCCAGCATCCTGTGGTTCAGTTTTCACTAATTTACTATTAAACGTCGTAGATTCACCAAAGATTTTATCGTCTTGTGGTTCTGTCTTCACAAAATTGGATTCGAGAGACATTTTCGTAATAGTCTCGATGGATTTTTCCATTGTTTTTCCATATGCACCACTAGCCATTGTAAGATTCGGTGGAAATTTTCCAAAACACTCAATCACCTACAAAAATGTAAGAGGAATAACGTTTATAGTGGTACCACGTTCACAACGATTAATCGGAACTGACTTTATTTTTGACCTGGTCCTCTATATATATTAAAATGAATCGAATCTGAATTGTCATTACCACCAATCAGAATGAGCTCATTTACAGGTAGAGTACCTAAATAATTTCTGAGAAGTACCAATATTCATTTCAGTTAACCAGAGGCAAATCTTCAATGAAATCATCAATTTGATTGCTAAGGAACTGTAGATATCTTTCCGCAGTCTGAATAAATAATTTTTAATGGAAAACGTACATCTTCTCTGTATTCAGTCAAAAATCCGTTGCAATTAGTCAATCTTCGGTTATGATCGTTATCGTAAAGATGTTGGTGTAGTTGGTACTTGAATGATCGATAACTATATTTATGAAGAATTCTCCAAACGGACGAATAACTTATATCACACTCAGAAACAATTTGGTGAATGGTGAATTCAACATTGGCCAACACACCTAAATCTTTTTATTCACTGACAATGAAGTAATTGCCATTTTCTTTTTGTTCATTTCACATTTTTCTTTCCGAGTGGAATGGCGACGATTAAGGAACCTCTGAGCATAAATTCGAGCTGCAATAGTTGCATTCTTTTTTGTTCTTCC